CCTGTGATAGAGGTAGTTTGTTTATTGTTTAACACTGCACTCCAATATTCCAGCTATATGGAGGCTGTCTGTAAACAATCGAGCCAGGACCAGACAATCCAGTGATCATCATCATGCACATCGATCTATGCAATTGCGGTACGAAAGCATGAGTCAACCAAGTCAGCGAGCCTGACCACCCGTTAGTCGCCTCTTACTTCAAGCATGGGTTGCTGAAGACGAAGTATAACCGGGATCTTCACAGGTTCCTGTGTTGGAACATGTCACCATGAACCTGTGGGGATCACAGGAGGCTAACATGACCTGGTGGTCAGATTCAGTGGCGGTCCTCCTTGTGTGTCATCATACTCAAACAGCATGGGTCGTGACTCAGAATACCAACCACTCTATTGCGTCCTCTCAATTTGAGTGAGCGAGTTTCGTTTTATGCCGCACTCAGCAATATTCCAGCTATAAGGCGGCGGTCTGTAAATAATCGAGTCTGGACCAGACAATCCAGTGATCAACAGCATCAGCATCGATCTGCGCAATTGGGAACCGATGACATGTGTCAACCAAGAATCAATATTCTAACCCGGACCTTCACGGGTCCCTCTTAATTTGATTAATTACACACACCGTTTATGTGGCATATTGCGAGCTGGGCATTCAACCACAAATAAACAAAAAAATATCTGCCTTATTTGTTTTCCCCATTTAGCTGCAAGATTGGCAATTAATCTTCTCACATGGACACAGCAGTATACTCGCAACTTGGTGCCCTTGTTCAAAGCAACCTTAACACTAAGACTGTCACAAGTCTATGTTAAAGGCCGGGTTCAAACCTATACACAAATGGAGTATGGTCGCGTTGCCTTGTGAAAGTTGTCTTCAGTCTAAGTAAACTTTAGGCTCAGTATTATTCGTTACACTGCTATACTGAGTCTAACAAAAGCTTGTGGAAGGTCGCGTCAGGTAACCTTTGAGCGACCTATGACCGTCAACTCAACCGCGAGACGGCCGATCGGATTTAACCAATCAGACAACGGCTACTATTTAGGGTTTGGCGGGACTTACAAAATGGATTTTCTCTTCCTCGGTCGCCAACACTGATCTCATAAGAAATGAAAACCCGCATAAAACACATGTATATGACCTGCAGAATATACGCTTTAGGGTTTCTGTTGACGTGGCTATCATTAGCTAATATTTCCGCAAGCTGACATCCTTGAATACTGACAAAACGCTATTCTCACTGAAAACTCAGCGACTGTTTACTCACTCTTGTGGCGTGCTCCATGTGCATCACTCAGAAGCGATCGTATAATTACGTACGGAAAATAGCATTCGGAATCGTTCGGGTACAAAAATATTTCGAGGTAAAACTTCAAAAGGTTTGTGCGAATGTCAACTTTCGCGATTTGGTAAGCTGAGTTCTGATTTGTCCATTGAAAAGGTCAGCTGACGAGACCTTCCACAAGGTTTTGTTAGAACTCAGTATAGCAGTGTAACGAAAAGTACTGAGCCTAAGTTTACTTAGACTGAAGTAGGCCATGAGCCACTTAGAGGGAACAAACACTTTTATTTTTTTAAAGTTGTTATGGTCTCTTCATATCAAAAATATATGGTGGCCATGTCGTAGCTCAAACTCAGAACGAGGCCAAATCCAAGATGGCCACCAAAACTTTTTAAAAAATGTCAATTCAAAGCACTAATCGTGAGTAAAGTTCAACAAATAGGTTTGAAATGAAAAATGGGAGGTAAAATAGTGCTAACATGATTAAAAAGATTTAATTAATATCAAGTTGTGTTATTTGGTACCTTTAAATCATATCGTTTCTGCATTTTGTAAGAGTCAAAATTGTAAGTTCAAAGAGCTTTTTCAAAAACTCATCATTTTATGTATTCTGAAGACAGCTCTTTAATTTCAATGAGTGAGAGCACCTTCAAGTTCCTTAAATTGGTTAGTGATAGTCACTGTTCCGCATCATGAACATCAGCTGCATCATCAGTGTAGCTCCTCGGCATGTCATGGTCCTCGCATACCATGTTGTCACAAGTCTGGTTCCGACATGTCACAGTGCATTTCAGTCCATTGGTAAGGCATTGACAACTTGGCAGTTTACAGACTGTTGTGCACTTGCAAGAAATGAACCCAAGAACAGCATCTGGAACAAGAGGTCCTGTCATCCAGCAAATCTCTATGTGACCATTTTCTTCCACCCATCCATGCCCATCTGTTGCCATTCAGCTTCCAGACAGTTGTACCATATTGCAGCTTGATAGTTTGCTCTCAGGATGTGCATAGATAGACAATCAAAGCAGGGTGGCAATTGTCCTGATTCAATTGCCCCTTTTCTCACTTCAAATACGTGGTAGCCCAATTGATTGACATCCCTTATTTGAGAACCTGAGGCAGACAGGCGAATACATGTGAATGCTTGAAGTGAGTCAATCAAACCTGGTGGCACAGTCCACTCATTCACAAATTGTTGGAAAGCCTCTTGATGTTGCTCTTTGCTGTTGAAAAGAAGTTTGAATGCATTGGACAATGGGAGGCTAACTGGAAACCATGGGATTTTTTCGCTCTAGTTTAAGGTATAGGAGTTACGATCACCTTGGCGCTATGATCCCTTTGTACAAGGTCTTCACTGAAGTTAAAAAAGAATCCCAATAGAACAACCTGTTGTCTCAAAAAACTCAAACATGTACAACTTTCTTTTATTACAAAAACAATAAATATTTACAAATCCTCCCCTCCTAAATCCCTGCTGCAATCTGTTTATTTATCTTGTCCATCATTATCTGGTCCAGCATGCTTCGTCTGTGATGCACGACCAGGTAGGATGCAATTCCAATAACCAAACACACTCCCTCAAATATCCAAAACTGTCTTTGTTCATCATCTGGAGTTATGTCACATCTGAAGAAAGAAAGAAAGAAATACTATTAGGTGAGGTGAGGTGAGGTGAAATTGGGTTTAACGTCGCGCTGCAGAATATTTCGCTCATATGACGACGTGCATGCGTGTGTTTGTGTAGGTGCGGCTGCTTGTACTAGCCCAAAATTAAGCTGGTTTTATAGTGCTAGCCCACTGAGATACCATGCCGCAGTGAAGCATGAATACCCCACTCAGACACATTATACTGACTCTGAGCCGACCAGTCCTTGTACCCATTAATGCCGAAGCCAGGCAGGGGACCAACAAGTACCATTATTTTAATGTGTGCAGAAATAAGGCTCACCATCAGCTCAGGGCACTGGCCCCCTCTGCGCTTCAACCTTCCGGAGAATATGTAGACTCCCCAACACTTCAGCCTTCTGTCCATTACCCAGAAGAAGCGTGTCAGGAGGGCTGTCCTCCTGGTAGAGCTGTCTTCAGAATACATAAAATGATTAGCTTTCGAAAAAGCTCTTTAAACTTACAATTTTGACTCTTACAAAATGCGGAAACGATATGATTTAAAGGTATCAAATAACACAACTTGATATTAATTAAATCTTTTTAAACATGTTAGCACTATTTTACCTCCCATTTTTCATTTCAAACCTATTTGTTGAACTCTACTCACAATTAGTGCTTTGAATTGACATTTTACCTCCCATTTTTCATTTCAAACCTATTTGTTGAACTTAACTCATAATTAGTGCTTTGAATTGACATTTTTTGAAAGTTTTTGAGTTTTTGGTGGCCATCTTGGATTTAGCCTCGTTCTGAGTTTGAGCTACCAAACTGACATGGCCATCATACTTTTTTGATATGTAGAGAGACACAAAGGAATATAAAAAACACGAAAACTTTTGGTCCCTCTGAGTGGTACCAATATGTCCATTTTCAGCTCCTGTCTCATTGCATAAAGTTGTCTTTCGACGCAAAGCAAAGCAGTATTCAAGTACATGACAAATATCACAAAATTTACCTACCAGGTTCATGATGTAATTAAGCATGCAAAGAATAAAGAAATGTTATGAAGATTCACTGCAAAAAAATTCATGCAGATATTCTACCAAACATACATTTTGAAAATATATTTCTTTTTTTGATGATCCGGGTTAGAATTGATCTTCAGTATGCCATGCTTGTTGTAAGAGGCGACTAGGCCATATAGCTGGAATATTGCTGAGTGCAGTGTTAAACAACAACCAACCAACAGCAGACTTGACACGACTCCCTCCCCACTACCCTGACGCCCTGCTGTGCAGTGTTAGGTGAGGTGAGGTGAAATTGGGTTTTACATCGTGCTTGAGAATATTGCGCTCATATGACGACGTGCATGCGTGTGTATGTGTATGTGCGGCTGCTTGTACTAGCTCTGACTTAAGCTGGTTTTATAGTGCTAGCCCACTGAGATACCATACCGCAGTGAAGCATGATTACCCCACTCAGGCACATCATACTGACTCCGAGCCGACCAGTCCTTATTGTACCCATTAATGCCGAACGCCAGACAGGGACCAACAAGTACCAAATTTTAACGTCTTTTGGTATGACGCGGTCGGGATCAAACCCACGACCTTCCACTCTCCGGGCGGACGCTCTAACCACTACACCACGGAGGCGGTCTGCAGTGTTAGGGTTGTACACTTATTTCATGATGCCATCCACAAGCTGAACACTTTATTCTTCCTTGAGAGGGTGATACTTGTTCAGTAGCTTTGTTATCAGTATCACCTCTCTGCCAGTTAAATTTACTTCTTCAAAATATGTAGTGAAAGGGCTGTTGGACATCTACTATAAGGCACGTGTTTATTCTAGTAGTAAATTCCAAGCTTAACCCTTGATACCGCCAGGCTCTTGCCAGGCACCCACAGCTGTTACAGTCCAGTCTCTCATGGGCAGATAAAATCTACACTGCTGAGGAGTAGACAATGGGAGGCTAACTGGAAACCATGGGATTTATTCGCTCTAGTTTAAGGTATAGGAGTTACGATCACCTTGGCACTATGATCCCTTTGTACAAGGTCTTCACTGAAGTTAAAAAAGAATCCCAATAGAATAACCTGTTGTCTCAAACAACTCGAACATGTACAACTTTCTTTTATTACAAAAACAATAAATATTTACAAATCCTCCCCTCCAATCACAGTTCCTAAATCCCTGCTGCAATCTGTTTATTTATCTTGTCCATCATTATCTGGTCCAGCATGCTTCGTCTGTGATGCACGACCAGGTAGGATGCAATTCCAATAACCAAACACACTCCCTCAAATATCCAAAACTGTCTTTGTTCATCATCTGGAGTTATGTCACATCTGAAGAAAGAAAGAAAGAAATACTATTAGGTGAGGTGAGGTGAGGTGAGGTGAAATTGGGTTTAACGTTGCGCTGCAGAATATTTCACTCATATGACGACGTGCATGCGTGTGTATGTGTAGGTGCGGCTGCTTGTACTAGCCCAGACTTAAGCTGGTTTTATAGTGCTAGCCCACTGAGATACCATGCTGCAGTGAAGCATGAATACCCCACTCAGACACATTATACTGACTCTGAGCCGACCAGTCCTTGTACCCATTAATGCCGAGCGCCAGGCAGGGACCAACAAGTACCATATTTTAACGTGTTTTGCTATGAAACGGCCAGGGATCGAACCCGCGACCTTCTGCTCTCCGGGCGGATGCTCTAACCACTACACCACAGAGGTGGTTACCCCACTCAGGCACTGACTCTGAGGCAACTGGAGTTTGTTTCATTCCTTTACTGCTGTGTGCCAATCAGGTAACAGTAAATGCCATCTTTTGATGCAGTCAGGGTTCAAACCATCAACAACAGGCTGACACTCGATGCAGGGGACCAAGGAGATTGTCTGGATTACTCAGTTTTGTTCAGACTCATTTCTACCCCAAGTGTATAGCAAGTGTCATTTAAACTTCCCACACAGGAATTGATCATTTCCCAGTTCATGTTGTTGTCATGAGCAATGTTTTTGGTTAGAGATGTGACTTACATTACACGATAACCGACCTAAACAAGATGAAGAGGCCTTAATGCCTAGTTTAACATTATTCCACTGAATATTTCATATATTATATAAATACACTGGAACAATGAAATAATATAAAAACGTTTAAAAAATTCAATTAAAACAAAATGATTTGCCTGCAAAGACAACAAAGTTTGGAATGCCTTATTTAACATTATTCCACTGAATATTTCATATATTAATTATATCAATGCACTGGGACAATGAAACAATATAAAAACTTTAGAGAAAATTTAGTTAGAGCAAAATAATTTGCCTGCAAAGAGAACAAAGTTTGGAATGCCTAGATAAATCCTTGTATTAGTGATCAATCAAGTAGGGACATGACAAGACACTGTTCAATATATTGACCACAATCCCTACTAAATCAACCAAGCCACTGAGCTTTACCAGACATTATAGCTAAAACACATGGAATTATCATGAAACGGCCCTCTTATTATCAGAAATTTGCGGGCCGCTGCAAATGATATTGGACCGCTCAACCTTAACGACGGGCCACTATCAATTCTGTTGTCAAGTGACGTCATAGTGGGTGCGTCGGTTCATTCGACATTGGCTTTGGACTGGCAGATATTCTGGATCAAACAAGTCAAAGCAACCCCAATTCCCGCTTTAAATAGCGGTAATATTGGCTTTCTTGCTGGTGCTAACCTTAACAATTGCACTATTAATGTTGTTGTTCGACCAAATTCGAACACTGGCATGGTTTGGCATGTTGCAGGCTATGGTCTTGTCAAAGGCCAAGGTCGAATATCGTCACTTTCTGTTGTGACGTCACTTGAATTGTTTGATGACGTAATTGCATTCGGGCAGTCAACCCCGTCAGAAGTTGGTTTTGAGTAAACTTACAGTCAAATTCCTTCAATGTTTCCTTTTTCTTTTCAACACAAATTCCATGTATTTTAGCAATAATAACAGTAATGCTATTTTTGAGAGCATTATCATTTGCAGAAGCCCTCAGTCTTTTTCAACTGCACTCCTTCGTCGGGCAGTTAATGGAAGACCGCGAGCTTCTGCAAATGATAATGCCCTCAAAAATAGCATTACCCTTATAATAAATTTTTGAAGCAGGAGTTACTGGGGGCCAATTCTGTCCTGGAATCCACTTAGATGCTATAGCATTCACAATAATGGTTTGGGGTAAACACAGGATAACCCTGTTACGGTTCTACATTAGACTGGAGTGAGTGAGTTTAGTATTACGTCGCACTCAGCAATATTCCAGCTATATGGCGGCAGTCTGTAAAATAATCGAGTCTGGACCAGACAATCTATTGATCAACAGCATGAGCATTGATCTACACAATTGGGAACCGATGTAGAGTAGACTGGACCCCAGCAACACATGTTGATCATAAGAGACATCCAGATAAATTGGGTGACCAGGGATAGTGACTTGGTAAAATGTGTGTCAATGTACCCTGACAGAATGAAATATAATCATCAGTATCAATCACTGGAATGCCTGGTCCACACTTCACTAGTTACCCTGACTAGGTCCTCATCATATAGCTGGAATATTGCTGAGAGTGGCATTGAACGACAAACAGACTGTTTTCAGAATATACCGATAACAGTGGCACTCACCCTTTGTACATTATTCTCATGTCCGAACACTTTATGAGCAACTTGTATCCCTTTTCATGACAGTAATGTACATCTCGTCTCTGGAAAATAAATTGTATATCACTTGTAACGAAATACCAAAAGTGAACTGTAGCTAATCTAGATCATGTAGATATGTAGTTAACAGTTCAAAATCACAATCAACCCCTGTATTTGTGCTGACATTACACCAAGAATTAAGCCAAGACACAGTGGTTCACAGTTTTCATTGAGCTTGCCAAAGTACATTTATTTCTTTTTGCAAACTTCATTATTTTTTAATCGAACGACTGAATGCTTGATGCAGAGAACGAGATGGAGTAGTATTTTTGGGCAACCGTCTCAGAGCTTTCATGTGAGTGCAATATGCAGGGTTACTTAATACAGTGAGGGGTGGTGGGGTAGCCTAGCGGTTAAAGAGTTTGCTCTTCGCACTGAATACCCAGGTTTGATTCCCCATATGGGTACAATGTGTAAAGCCAGGGTTCGAAATACCCCCTATTTTAGCATGCAATGGCACGGTAAATATTGAATTGGCACGGATAAAAAATGTCCTCGGTGCCCTTATGGCATGCCTAATTTTTTAGAGACATAACTCACCTTTAGTCATTTAATCCCCAAAACAAAACACTTACGCAAATAACAAACAAGCAAAAACATTTATTGACTCTATCGCTCAGGAAATCACTGGAATTATGATAGATGATATAAAGAAATTTGGTTGCTTTTCCATTTAGAGTGATGTGCTGATAGTTCAGTTATTGAACAGGACATTGTGTTTGTTAGATATATTGAACAAGTAAACGTGTCACTTAGCTATTAAAGATGTTGGGAAAGCAGAACAAATGAACATGATGAAGCTTAAGAAAGCCATCTTAAACAGAAGACATATCAGTGATAACAGAAAACAGGTTACATTTGTTGTTTACAAACAATAAATTTCAAATGATCATCATCATTGCTACAGTCATTTATTCTAAAAACAGGTGGACACACTTGATTTCTGAAAGGCACATTTAAAATATTTGCCTGGTGCCCTAAGGCACACCTCGGGAAAAAAATATTTCTATCCCTGAAAGCCCATTTCTGGTGTCCCCTGCCGTGATATTGCTGTAATATTGCTAAAAGCGATGTAAGATTAAACTCACTAAACTTAGTACAGTGTAGTTTGTATGCCTCTTATATTGTAAGTTTATATGCCTCTTATATTGTAAGAGTGAAATGCAAAAGTAATGAGTACCTTAAAACTGTCATTTTGGTTTTCAGTGAAGGATGAAATCTCGCTTTTTGTTTATATGATCAACAAGTCATCTGTTATGGTAGTAACCTTTGTGAAATCATTTGAAATAAGAACAGCAATCTCATTGAAATTGTGTTTTCATGTCAAAGAACACAACACCTCTGGTACATAGTGTACACTATCAAGCCAACTTTCAAAAAGAAAGGGTGGAAACGGCTTAGATACAGGCTAGAGCACATGTTTGCCTTGGAAAGATGCTTCATGTATCAGTCACTAGTTTGTCTGTTGTAGACTTGAACATCAAACGAGTCATCACAAAGCTGGAATATTGCTGGATGTGGTATTAAACAACAAGGTGAGGTGAAATTGGGTTTAACGTCGTGCTTGAAAATATTTCGCTCATATGACGACGTGCATGTGTGTGTATGTGTATGTGCGGCTGCTTGTACTAGCCCAAAATTAAGCTGGTTTTATAGTGCTAGCCCACTGAGATGCCATGCCGCAGTGAAGCATGAATACCCCACTCAGACACATTATACTGACTCCGAGCCGACCAGTCCTTGTTGTACCCATTAATGCCGAGCGCCAGGCAGGGACCAACAAGTACCATCTTTTAACGTCTTTTGGTATGACACGGTCAGGGATTGAACCTCGATCGATACGTTCCGCGACCTTCCGGCTCTCGGGCGGTTATCAAACAACAAACATACATACCATTCCTGTGATATTCACAGGAAAAAGATGAAAAAGAAAGGAATAAACTGCAGATGTGATATATTTACACCATTTCCACACTTTATTTCAAATTATACTTACAAGTTCATCTCTTGTACAACTTTTGCAGACATCCAGTGTTGTGTATTTCCCAGACTTACATGTCTCATTTGAATAAGCTGTCAACATAATAGGAAACAATATTAAATAAAAGTACATTTCCTCTCTATGGATAAAAAGTTTTGCTCAGGTTCCATAAGCCATGAGTTAAATTGAGTAAGTGAGTTTACTTTTACACAGCACTCAACAATATTCCAGCTATATGGCAGTGGTCTGTAAATAATCGGGTATGGAGCAGACAATCCAGTGATCAACAGCATGAGCATCGATCTGCGCAACTGTGAACCGATGACATCTGTCAACCAAGTCAGCGAGCCTGACCACCCAATGCCGTTACTCGCCTCTTACAACAAGCATAGGTTACTGAAGATCAATTCTAACCCGGACCTTCACGGGTTCATGAGTTAAAAGGATGATGGAAAGAAAAACATGATAAAACATAAAGGTGACTTTATTTACAATAAATTCATGTTGCATAGTTTTGGTAGAAGGATTGTCTACATAGTGGCTACATACTGAGGTGAAATGGGGTTGAATGTTGTGTTCATTATTATTGCACTTACATGGCAATTTGTTTTGACTGTGGAAAGTGGTGGCCATGAGTCTACCTGCCCTAGTCCCGACTGGTGACAGTTTTATAGTGCCAGCCCACTGACATACCATTCCACAGTGTAATATGGATACCCCGTTAGACACAGTAAACCACCCCAAGCAAACCCTCTGTCTTTCTGTCATCCCTTAATGACAGGGTTCAGGTAAGATAGACTGCCGCCATACAGATGGAATATTGAGTGTGGCATTAAACAACAACCAAATACACATACAAAAAAAACATTCTCCATGTTCACACATCACTGACAGGGCTCAAACCTGTACCGCCATACCTCCCTTCATTGAATAACTTGAATAATATACTAGGGTAGGTCATAGCAAAGCCTATGCATATGTGAGGGGCGGTGATATGGTACAGTTATCAAATATGCATCATTACTGTTATTCCTAATCATTTAATCTCTACTATCTTACTAACCCATTGCTTGAATGTGCGCATCTTTCAGTTTTTTCTGGAAGGACCATCTGCTTTCGAGGATAAGTGTTACAACCGACAGACTGAAAAGCATAATATCATTATTAGTTGCATAGTAAGACAACAGAGTCAACATTGTCCAAGGATGTAACACACGCAAAATCATGCATCCTGTGAGTATTTCATTGAAAACAGAAACAAAAAAGAGCACATCTTTCTTGACAATTTGTTCATGAAAGAATGTTGCTAAACCATACAGGGAATTTAATACCCTTTACATGCTTACAAAACAATTCAGTGTATATTTTTATGTACTCGATTAAATACTACAAAGTATATTACAAAGTTAAATGTTTCACTATCTTCTAGTGCTAATACTCTTTTTAGATTTGTTTCAGTTCATATAGTTAGGAACTCCATATCAATCTTTAAATAATAGCTTGTTTGTTGTTTAACGCCACACTCTGCAATATTTCAGCAATATGGCAACAGTCTGTAAATTATCAAATCTGGACCAGACAATCCAGTGATCAACAGTATGAGCATCATTCTACGTAATTGGATAAGATGATGTGTGGCAACCAAGTCAGTGAGCATGGATGAGCCTGACTAAACGATCCCGTTAGTCACCATGGGTTGCTGAAAACCAGTTCAAACCTGGATCTTCACGGCTGTACACAGGGACTTGTGACGCTAAAAACTGGCATCAAGGTATACATTGTACACTTGTGTAACCTTGATTCACGGATATAAGGGAAGTGCAGCGAAAATCATATTTTAAATGCACAATTTCATTTTGTATACTCACTGATTATTGTATTCATCGATTCAGCAAATTGAAAATGCCCAATATTCCACTCGTGAATGAAACATTTGTCTACGAAGCCATTGGTAATCAATGTAATCATCACCCATTTGTGTGCCCACAACATTTGACATCACGTTGTTTCATGGATTACGTAGTCGGTTACTTTATACCACTATGTACGACAGCCCATTGCAGTAAGTATTGACACTAAGGAAAGCAGACAACGATATGTGAGAAGACTGGTGCTGACGGTATCTTTTTTACTTGACATTTTGTAAAAATAAAATTTGGTATTGGTGGCATTAGTGATCTTGGGCTATTTATCTCAGTTCTGAACAATTACATTTAGTATACTTGCATGTAATGCAGAGATTCGGAACATTTTTTGTCAGCGTGGGGTGGCATTGTATGTACATCAAAATACCGCATCATGACATCAGTCGAGACTTAATTTATGAGAGAGCATGATAATTACAGCGATCCACGAATCAAGGCTATCCACAAATTTAGGTTACGGTTCTGTAAATGATGGGGTATTCATTTTATATAGTGCTAAGACTCATACAAAGACAATGTATACGTTGATGCAAGTTTTATTGCGATTCAAGCGGCTGTGGTTAGTTATTTTAACAGATCATTGTATGTATCCTGTTTTCACAGTCAGGCTTACCATATAAGTGCAATGACTGCAAAAACCATTCGTTTCTTCGTACAAAATTCTATCATGTTTTGGAATTTAAACCACTGTCGATATTTCATAAACAGACTTCTAGAAAATATCTAGAAATGCCGAGCAATATTGATCATCGTCAGCGCTGGAATCCCTCATGCGTGGAACTCGACGAGAGTCATTTTCCAACTTCGCATCTCCCTTAGACCAACATCAAGACTCCGTATGTCCACTGAAAATGCTTAAACAATATAAAATAAATTCAAAAGTTTCACTACAGTGCCACTCTAAAGAATGTTTTATGTTTACACATTTCCTGGAGACACTGTGCCAACTTGTAATGTTTGGAACGGAAGCGGAAGTCACTGGTGTACACATACTATTTCCCAAACAACAAATGTTAGTTGAAAGTATTTGTTTAGGCATCAGTTGGATTACATTATTTTGCAATAAATAGTTTTATGAATCCCGGAAAATGTTATCCGTATACGTATGTTCGTGTGATGACTGATAAGGCTTGTTGATACTACTTGCGTGTTACATCTAAAACGGCAATATCAGCGCAAAGTAACCGACGAAAACGGATTCTCGTTTAAAGCGAAAAACGGCTACTATTTTGGGCAGAAATGGTAGGATATGTTTTTTTGCTTTCGTTTTTAACCAGTAACTGAAATTAAACTGCACATACATGAACACATGTTAACATTAGACATCACCCCTAGTTCAGTATACCCGAAGACACGGATTGTGTGGAGTTTAACTTTTGGAAAAAACACAAACCTCAAAGCGACTCAAAATGAATTACTGAGTATTACAAGAATCCAAACCTCTGAATATGAATATTACATACTATCAAATACCATTCACAGTGAATTTTGTATTGTTTGTCTGCAGAGACAAAAGAAATGATAATCTGGTGTTTAAATAAGTGTGAGACGACGCAAAAGTATTCGATGTGATTGCAGTGTGCGAAATAGCCGCTGGCCCGCTAGCCCGTGGCTAGTAAAAATCCAGTCGAGCCAGTACATCTCAACAGCACTGGCCCGACTGGCTGTTGAATTTTCATGGGGTTATCTTTTAAATATATCATTCTCTCCGACTTGTTAACCTATGATACACATTCAAATCATGCACGATTATGGTTTGATAAATGATGGTATTTTACCTCTTTGTAATATTTAGCTTAGTTTCTACATTTAAATTTCGGGCTAGTGAATTATTTTGTGGGCTAGTAACTTTCAGGCATAGCTAGCCCGACTGGCTAGTTAAATCTGGAAACTGTTTCGCTATACTGTGTAATAGCAATTATAAGTGGGCTCTTTTCGAGATCTATACCACTGAATCTTAATCCGGTACAGGACTGTCATCATCAGCCAGATTAATATGTAGAATAGTTCGGTCATAGAAGCTTACACTTTCTTTAATCAGAGAGAAAAACAAACAGACCGGGTATACTTTGAAGCGAGTGAACCGAAGCAGTCACATATCCGGAATTCCTTGCAACCAACATATAACCACGTTCAATCGATAAATTATATATATATATATGATTATTGATCGACGTTAATAAGGGAATACAGACAAAAACATGCCCGTCGTGATTCTTGAAGAATTCAATAAGTTTTGTATGTATCTTCCGTTTATAAATGTTGCCATCAAACATCTAATGGTTCCAATTGCAGACAGTGAAGACTTCACGTAGTCTAAAGATGTCATACTGCCCACTGTAGCAGTTGTTGTTGTAGGTATCGTGAAGCTGAGTGAAATCTAGACTTGCCACATTTTCTAGACTTGCGTGGGCTTTCTTGGATATATTTACTTCAGGGTCTGTACGAGAAACTAGTATCTACTCAGTGTGAGAAATAGTTTCCACATTTTGCTGGTCAGTCGGGCTAACTATGCCTGAATTTTACCAGCCCCTAAAATAATTCACTAGCCCGAAAATTTGAATGTAGAAACTAAGCAAAAGATTAAAAAAATGGATGAGAATAAGATATTGTCGGCATGATACGTGTTTCATCATTAAGATGATGAACATTTTTATCAGGCAATAATATTGCAAGATTTAAAAGTGTATTATAACTAAACAAGTCGGAGAGAGTGATATATTTACAAAATGATCCCATGGAAAGCGAGTCGAGCCAGTGACTGTGGTGTGGAGATTTACTGGCCAGACTGGATTTTTACTAGTGGGGCTAGCGGGCCACTATCTATTACAAAACTGTATAAATCGAAATAAAAGATTTCAGATACTCTTACAACACTGTGAGTAATGCTAAGTGTGTGTTATTTTGACTGATGTTCTGTGCCCAACTCTATAACTCGTACAAATCAGAAGACCATATAACAAACATATAACACACGTTGTGGATCAATAAAGAGTTTTTAGGGAAATGTAACGCGAGAAACGGAAGCAGCGAAAGGCATTGTGGGGTTTCGGCCATTTCCGAGCAGAAGGACAAGGAGGTCATACACACACAGTCCAAACATGTTCCGTGCCGTACAGAGAGCGAGTCGATCATTGCACTCTGTTGCTGTCCAAACTCTGAGGAAACCGGCAATCGGTATGACATATGTACAGTGTAATTTATTTTACAATTTGGCTCTCAAAATGCACCATGATCGGTGTACGTGACAGAAATTGTCAGAAAGGCATGTTCAGGTTTGACTGATAGCGGGTTTTTTCTAAACACGTTTAAGCTACGACGATTCACGGGTCAAATGTATGTAAGGCATAAATGCTGAATACAGTTAAATGCCTATGACAATGTTGAGAAACAAGTCTAAGATTGAATTGTCAGTTTCCTGAAACTTTGCTTTCAGGAGTTACTTCCCCTTCTCATTTCCCGCATGAATTGTCTAAGATTCCTAACCATTGACTTGTCATTATCATCAGGTGTCAAGATTTATATTAGTGCTGCCGTCTTGTTATACCCAGAAGCGATGCTTAGGCGAAACATGGATTGTTTTTATTCTTTCAGGATTCATAATCACTGCAGTCAATAAAATTTGAAGGTCATTAATACAGACTGAACAAAGGTTGAATCATGAATGCAAGTTTTCAAACCAACTGATATTTTAATGATTACCAAAAGTTTACGGTTTCATCTCGGTGGTTAAGTGTTTATGATAAGTTTCTGCATGTTGTCAACTCCACCACACTGACACTAGTCCTTGTTCACACATGTTGCATTATGCTGAGCAAATCATCCACCACCTTGCAAATTATTATGAACAAGCCTCTTGGTACATTAACAAAGCAATATACCACAGGGCGTTTGGGATGAAGACAATGGTGGAATACGAAGTTGGTACACAGTTGTCAGAAACACAAAAGGTCAGGATGAAGGGATACAAAACACAGCTTATGGCTTATATTGTTGATGAACTTTACATTGCTTCAGTTCAAAGGCAGCATAAAAGTATTAACCAATGTTAAATATGTGATCTATTGTTTCTCGTGCATGTCATTAATAAATGTATGTTATGATTTAGCTTCAGTTGGTGTGCGTCACTCACATGGAGTACAGGAGAGTGATGAGGAGTTCGATGCTCGGTATGAATCGTACTTCAACAGATCAGACATTGATGGTTGGGAAGTTCGCAAGGCCATGAATGATTTACAGGTATGTATATATATATATATATCAATATATGTGTCACAGGGCTCCAGATAAAGGCCGTATCGGCGTATGTACGGCTAAAAGATATGCACGATAGGATAGGAAATAATTTAGGAAACGTAGCAGATACGCACCACAGCAATGGTGTACGGTCTTAGAATCATTTACAGACATATGTATCTGAAAAAGTATTTTGTTTATTGTTTATTGACCTGTGTACACAAGACTAGCAGTCTTGTGGTGCATATATGAAACGAAACAATAGATTACTGATATGCCATTAAAGTCCATTCAGTACTCTAAATGTAATCTGTAGTTTTTCCAGTACTCCTATATTCGAAAAATTATCTGGAGCCCTGGTGTCATTTTCCCAACTCAAATGGATACATTTCATTATTAGTAATATTACTTAGTATAGCCTTAAAGAAGAAGCAAACAAACCACTGATGTCACTAGAACTGCAACATGTACCACAATATTTATCAATGGTTCAGGACACTGGATCAGATCAGTTATGCGAATAGGTGTGACAAACATCATATTTTGTTTGGTACCATTTATATTTTCGTTGCCTATTTACCAATGTTGAACATGTGTGACAGGTAATAGCGAATTTGTATTATTGTTTCAGGGTTATGACCTGATCCCTGAGCCCAAGATCATTATTGCAGCATTGAAAGCTTGTCGCAGAATAAATGATTATGCCTTGGCTGTCAGGTATTTGGAGGCTATCCAGGTAAGACAATATCAATTACGATCTCATATGGGAGTTTCTGAGGTGAACTGATCTTCAGTAACTTGTTACATGAGTTCCATAATATTATAGTACCAGGAATATTTCTTTCATTTGTTTCACTTCTGATGAATCAACACATCTAAGTGATATGTGATAGAATCACTTTGATTTATTGATATACATCATGCATTTCATTGTCTGTATAATTATTCTTAACAATGTGTAAACTACTCCACTGGGAGCCAGTCTGTTTTGATTTCAAGATACGTCTATTTGTTTACAAGGGAAAAGTCCAGGCTCATGGTATGCCGTGGTTGGCCTCTAACAGCGTGTTTCTCAGTACTACTACAAACTTTCTTTACAGGACAAATGTGGCAACAAAGTGAAGGAAATCTGGCCATACATCAACCAACAGATCGACCCCACCCTGAAGGAGCTTGGTATCCTCACACCTGAAGAAATGGGCTATAACAAACCAGAACTGGCTCTGAAGGATGTATACGATATGTAGATATTTAGGTCAGTGGACATTTTTCTTATCATGTAATGGCTATAAGGCATTTTTTAACTTCGTGTCATAAGTTCCTGTTCCCACCTCTCCCAAGATCCTTGCTGGAATTGGCTTGCCTTGAAGGGCATCTAACAAGAATGGGTCATCAAACTTACTGACTTGGTTGATTGCATGTCATCATGATGAAAACACAATAACTTGTGTTTCTGGGTGTGACATTGCTGTAATGTTGCTATATGCCTCATCTGTCTTTCATTGATGTCATGAGGTCTGTAACCCTGGTAACAACTGAGGCATGTTAATGGCTGAAGCTGTACAGATGATCACTAAGCGTGTTCACATGACAACCCAGTGATCACTCAGATGTCTTAACCCCAAATTGCCAGCATTACATTCTAAAGGCATATCAGAATTCAGTGGTGAATGGTTTGAACCCTTTAATGGCACTGTACCGTTGCTGATGAGTGATATAAGTAGTAAATGTTTAATACCTGCATCACTTTTGCCTTTGCTAATGCTGGTACCCAACCCATAACATAAATGAAATAATTCTGAGTCACTCATCTACCAAACAAAACATGCTGATTGTTTGGACGAGTGGTACAAGAATTGTCTACAAGGGAATCCTGGTGCTTTCTGATTATGTTGTTTGTCACTTTCCATGTCAGCACCATACTACATTCTTATGGGCTGCAAAGTGATAACCATGATGACTGTCTATGACCAAAGATACTTTGGCTTTCCGCATATATTAAATCACTGTGCTGTGCTACAAATTATACTACCCATCAAAAGTTTAGACTCACTGGTGTAAATGTAGCCACTCACTTCAGTCTACTGATCTCAACTAGATCTTGCAAAATATTCTATACAGTTTAAGGGTACTGTTTACACATGAACTGATGTATTGTAAAACAAATTCGTAACATTGAAAAGATTATTGTCTTGAGTTCAATAAATGAGTAAACTCAGTGAAAGTTGGTGAATTCTTAACAAAACTTTACACCAAACCGCAGCTGTTCACATGCACGATATTTGCACATGCTTTTCAGCAATTTGATGCATGATCCTCGTGCAGTTCATCTGCATAAGGTTTGCACTTGGTTCCCCCAAATTAGTGGAGAAATTCATCTTCAATGTAACCACATATATATACATAACATGTAGTGCTTTAAGTGAGTCTAAACTTTTTATGGGGAGTATATATCAGTCCCATCCCTCATTCCAATACTTTTAGTGTGTCTCTCATGTAATGACATGTTATACATGGTTCCTTTGTTTTGTTGCAGGGTGCAAGTATGATCCAGGTCTCTTTGTTATGTTGAACAGAACTTGAAGAAATTCCATTGCAAGGATACTATTCATCAACGGACATGATAGTGACTGTTTTGTGTGAATGTATGCTATTTAAAAAAACAATAAAATCATATACTAGTTACATAGTTGTCATGTGTTGTTCTTCAGCTATGATATATTGGGATGACTGGAGGTTTTGTACACCGGTTTTATGACATGTCAGGTACTTTCTTTTACATACATCATTTCATTATCCCTGGTAAATTTGTTTTTGTACCTATACAAGGCAAAGATCTGGATTGTAACACAACATGACAATGCATGAAGGCTTAACTTGACAGTATTGTGAAAAAGAACATATGAAACAGTTATTTAGACACCAGTTTTGACATCAAGAATAATCAGAACAAAATTGCTTTAGATCCTCTGTCATATGTCAAACTCATTCCCCTGTCTGTCACTTACCATGATATTACAATACCATTTGCTAATGGATTGCAAAGTGATCAATTTCGATGCCTTGTGAACTTGCCATGAAACTTGACAGTATCTCTCCGGACAGACAAGACATCATGAGGTGAGGTCAAATTGGGTTTATCGTCGTGCTTGAGAATATTTCGCTCATATGACGACGTGCATGCGTGTGTATGTGTATGTGTGGCTGCTTGTACTAGCCCAGACTGAAGCTGGTTTTATAGTGCTAGCCCACTGAGATACCATGCCGCAGTGAAGCATGAATACCCTACTCAGACACATACTGACTCCGAGCCGCCCAGTCCTTGTACCCATTAAAGCCGAGCGCCAGGCAGGGACCAACAAGTACCATATTTTAAAGTCTTTTGGTATGACGCACAGTTGGGGGATCGAACCCGCGACCTTCCGCTCTCCGGGCGGACTATTCAAAGAAAAGACGAACTAAAACAGCTTAGTTGAGTCGACAGTCACACACTGCTCTCCAGCAGATTGTATGTATACTGGAGCAGAATCCTACAAGTAATAAGAAACACGGTACTGTAAAGTAATATTTTCATATTCCATTTCCACTTTCATTATTTATCTCAAATTTACTTCAAATGTTTCATTTGAGCTAATATTCTCTGGCCTTTATGAAACAACATCAATCGATAAGTGTATTGTTTATGTATTGTTTTTAATCACATGGAAATCTAAATATTGCTTGTTGTTTCTTGTTGCTACATTATTTTAGCACCTTCAACTCCAGTTGTAGAAAACAGTTCTTTCGTAATGCTGCACCAATCGCTTCTGAGGTAAAGTGTTTGTGGGCGAGCTGGCTAAGGCGCCAGGCTAGTGATCCAGCGAGGTTGAGGTGTCGGGATCCAGCCCACCTGTGACCGGGTGTACAAACCTTGGAGTCAACTATGTGTGCAGACTCTTTCAGTGTTGTCACAGCCCCTAGTGTACAGTACACAGCCCTGTGCACTTAAAAGAACCCACGAATCCGTTGGTATTTGACCATATGGTGGCCACATAAATACGTGCAAACACCTAGTTGCGGGTACAGCAACGTGCAGTGAACATGGACAAAGTAATGTGGCTATGTGCCCCAGTCCACCCAGCTGTGAATGGGTACCTCGTTAGGATGAGAAAGCCACAATAACTCGGTGCGCCTAGTGGCTGCAAGAGTTGTATACTCCCCAGGGAGTTGAGATTGATAATGCGATGTGCCGTTGAGATTGACATCCAATGATCGAGCGAAAAATGCCAGCGCCTTGAGCATGCACTAGTGCGTGGATATGTGCGCTATATAAATATCCTATAATAATAATAAAGTGCAGTTTTAATCAAACGAAATGAGTGTTGAACCTCTCCGAATATTTTCACTTGATGTTAACATGTCTGTTTTGTGGCACCTGGGTGGTGTTCATTGCTGTCTATGGACACAGGGGTAAACTCCCCTTGCTTAGACATCTTACTGTACATGAGGACTCCAGTCCTATACATGGCAGTCGCGATTACTGAGTCCACAAGAATAAAAACACCAAATAACAAAGGATACAAGGACAGTTCACCCATTTCTGATTGGCTGAATGTCAAGGATAGAAGGGTCATGCAAAATGGGAAATTTTGTATTCCTGTTTCCATGGCAACAGTTCTACACCGAAAGTGTGGCATCCGGAAGATGAAGGCAGTTGCGTATCCAAACCCAAAACTGATGAATGGAAGGAAGACAACGGCGAAGTAGATCCTCCAGGAAGAGTAGTACATGAAAGGGTAGAGCAGGCTTGTGAGAGTCATGGCCGCTACAACTGACACTGCTCCAGCCGCGCTACCTATCTGCAAAACAAAATATGCCGTAACGTTACATAAAGGTCAACCGATTAAATTACTGCGACAAACATGATTGCACATCGTGGTCTTCTGTGAAAGGTCATTTGTGCGAGATAAATGCGAAAAATAAATGTTTTTATAATTGGGCAGTTATTCTCGAAAAAGCACGCCGAATTACGTCCAGGCTCAAAGACATACAAGGATCTATTGTTACCCTAAACCCATCCGATGTTGTCCACGGAGCCATGTTTGATGAAGGCAGAATAATGTTCCAGGAGGATGAATTCTAAACCGGGAATTGTGTTAACGCAAATGATTGGTTTTGGTTTGTCTGGTCCGTGCATTTGCTGACTGATTGGGATGCGCCGACTGATTGGCATTTGTAGACTGATTGGTATTTGTAAGCTGATTGATATTTGTAAACTGATTGGCATTTGTGGACTGATTGGTATTTGCCAACTGATTGGTATTTGTAGACTGATTGGTATTTGTAAGCTGATTGATATTTGTAAACTGATTGGCATTTGTGGACTGATTGGTATTTGCCAACTGATTGGTATTTGTAGACTGATTGGTATTTGTAAGCTGATTGATATTTGTAAACTGATTGGCATTTGTGGACTGATTGGTAATTGTAGAATGATTGGTATTCGCCGACTCATGGGTATTTGTAGACTGACTGGTATTTGTAAGCTGATTTGTATTTGTAGACTGATTGGTAATTGTAGAATGATTGCTATTCGCCGACTGATGGGTATTTGCCAACTGATTGGTATTTGTAGACTGATTGGCATTTGTAGATTGATTGGTATTTGTATACTGATTGGTATTTGTAGACAAAGCAGCGATGGCACCATACTCACCTTTATAATGTACATGGCAACCTTTGGCTTCCAGTGACGCACTGCTATACCTACGACTGCCGGTACCAGCATCATAGCAAACGCTTGTGCCAGGTTGCCAAAAGGTATAACAGCCTTCTTGTTTGTCCAAGAGCGGCTATAGATGAGAAGATTGAGCGGCAGAAATCCGGCTGACAAAACCGTATTCACTGTGGTCATTGTCAGACTGTAAAAATATGGAATGTAATTAATATATCCACCATTAGAAATACCTTGATACCATTCAAAACGAGTAATTATTCAGCTGTTCACATAAAATAATATTCAATAACCCTACACTGGCTATCTCGCACACCGGATGACTGAAACACATAACCGTTTAGTCCGAGTGAGTGAGTTTTAGTTTTACGCTGCCTTTAGCAATATTTCAGCCTTTAGCAATATTTCAGCAATATCACTGCGACGAGCACCAGAAATGGGATTCACACATTGTACCCATGAGGGGAATCGAACTCGGGCCTTCAGCGTGACGAGCGAACGCTTTAACCATTGGACTACTCCACAGCCCATGTATTGCCATTCTTGCAAGAGCGGACCCCAGAGCAAGTTTAATCACCAGGTCCACCAGAGTGAGAGGCATTAATCCAGCAATACAACGAAATCCGACCTCGGAAATGGGCTTCACACTGTACCCACACGGACAATCGAACCCGGGCCTTCGTCAAGCAAATATGTCGCCGTGGTGAAGTTGTACAACAGTGATGCCACAACGGTCACACGCACCATGCACCTTCACTGCAGGAAGGGAGATCCCCTATTGTGTTACGGGTAATACTGCAACACCCCCGGAGCTCTTGAGACAACACAAGGAGTAGGGTAGTCTTCATTGCTTAACGGGGGCAGCGGGGTAGCCTAATGGTTAAAGCGTGGGCTCGTCACGCCGAACACCCGGGTTCGAATCCCCACATGGGTATAATGTGTGAAGCCCATTTCTGGTGTCCCCCGCCGTGATGTTGCTGGAATATTGCTAAAAGCGGCGTAAAACCAAACTCAGTCAGTCAGTCATTGCTTAACGTACAACTAATGGGGCAGGGCGAACAACTTGCACACAACTTGCAGAGTCCGGCAGAGGCTACCAGGGGAAGGAGGCGGAATGATGCTGGCACATGGGCAGCTGGACTGGTAAGTTCGTCCCTTCAAGTCTTTTCTTCTGGTTTGTCCACGCTCTTCGCAATGTCTGCCGACTCTGCTCTGTTTGCCTGTCCTGCCTGCTTTTAAAGGCAGATAAGTATGGAATCCGAGAAGGGACATTGTCGCTATGTCGCATTGTCGCCCTCTCAAAAACAAGTAAAGTGAGGCAAAATAAACCAAAACGCGACACGTGACATCGCGACAATGCGACAAATGGGCGAAATGTCGCGTTGTCGCGATGTCGCGTGTCGCGTTTTGGTTAATTTTGCTTGTATTTGAGAGGGCGACAACGCGACAATGCGACAACGCCACAATGTCCCTTCCAGGATTCCATAGATAAGCGACTAACAATCTGCATCGGTCTGCAGTTCTCACGGACATGATCTGCCAAGCTGGCTAAGCTTTGACGAGCTTGACATATGTCCGACAACTGTGAACAACAATACCCACTATTAAGGACATTTTACTGTGTCCTGAGTTGTTACTGATGCGTCACCATTTTCACAATTTAACCATAACTTATCTATATAATATTGTATCTAATTAACTGATTTGGAAAATAATTATTGTACATAATACAATTTGTAGTTTTTGCACTCGATTTTAATTTCACTGACATATTGGACTGAATATTTCAATGATACCTAACACCATTGTCAAACTTACAAGTAACTTACAACGCAGAAAAATAATATCCATTTCACGACGCTAACAGCTGCACAAAGTGAAATAATAATAATAATGTACAAAATTTATATAGCGCCCTATTTGATGTGCAGCTACATCACTCTAAGGCGCTTAACAGTCAAATTGGTGGCTATTGAGCTTATTCACATTTGAACAGATAGGTCTTAATGTTCTTTTTGAAATTGGTGATTGATGTTGAAGTACTGATCTGAAAAATACTAGCCGACTCACATTCCAACAAGGTAACAATTTTAGTGCCAAACATCTCATATTTCTACTCGTCGATAATTTAGTGTCACTTATAGTAATCGCATACATGATTCTCTGTTGTTAAACGCACATTACGTTTTTTGTCCTTTGGTAAGCTTGTACGCGGACGGTATGGGTTTTTTTAGACATCAATGCTACTTATCAATCTCATCAGATATGCGACTGGACTAACACCTAGTCTCTGAAATGATCATATATTACAGGAGTAACAGTTCCTAAAGCACATCTTTAAAATATGATAAAAAGGAGCCCAGAGACTTTGTTCATTTCATGACACAGTGGTAATCTAGATTTGCATGGGCTGGGTGTATTTGTTTCAGGATATGACAGACAAAGGTGCGCAAGCACCCAAAGTAGATTCTTTTCATGGTTTAACATGTTTTGGGTAAAGCTGTCGTTCGTCATGCCCAAGACACCAGTTCAATTCTTTGTATAAATACATCGTGTAAAGACAAGTTTTCGTGGCCCCTCCTCCTGAATATAACTAAAGACACTCTAATTCACACAGTCACCATCCTGTCCTGTACATGTACATGTTTAACCTCTTTAACATAAGGACAGGTGAGGTAGCCTAGCGGTTAAAGCTTTCGCCCGTCACGCCGAAGACCCGGGTTCGATTCCCCACAGGGGTACAATGTGTGAAGCCTATTTCTGGTGTCCCCGCTATGATATTGCTGGAATATTGCTAAAAGCGGCGTAAAACTAAGTGCACTCACTTGCTCTTGTGCTTGAAGGAACCTGGTTGAGTGACTGTAGATACGCCCCTGTAATTCCTTTTGACTATATTCGACAGCTCTTGATCTATACGGTTTGATGTTATACTCATCAAGCTAAACATATGCATACATGATGCCACTTCGCTGATACACATTTAACACATCACATTTTGAAATGATCACAAGTACATGAAGGAACAAGGCCACGTGACTGCAGATACATTCAACGACCAGCTACCACTGACCTTAGCGGCACGTCTCCATCCACCCACAACGTGAACATATTAGAGGTGGATCCACCCGGGCAACAGCTCATGATCAGCATCCCTATCGCCTGCTTTGGGGGCAGCTGCAGGGCATGACCAAGGCCGAACGCCGTCAGAGGCAGCACGATGAATTGTGACGCCGCCCCGATGAGGATGCCGTATGGACGTCTCAGATGAGCCCACAGTTCCTTCAGCTGGATGCAAGCTCCGACACCCAACATTATGATGATGAGACTTCCCGTCATCACCACTAGATTGGTGGGTATGAAACATATCAATATCAATATTATACCCGTAAACGCATTTTCTACTGTTGAACAGGGACACCGTATCCCATTTCACTTTGCCAGGAACAGAATGATTACCATATTGTTATGCTGCAAATCAACAGCTTTGAATAACAACCTGACTTCCATAGTGACACAAGAATTGGCGCAGCTGCGTTTATCTTTAAAAATTGTTGCTTGGTCATTCTTAGTGTAATTAAAATCAGTTCTTTTCCCATGATAACAAATATACAATAATACCCGATTTCTGTACGTCGTAGACGAATATATACCCGAAATGTAAAAACAAAGAGGCGGTCTTTCTTTGTGAATATTTTAGACAACATGTCGTTTCTGAGCGCCATGGTATCTGCCCCAAAGAGAGAAATATAGAAGGTATGTTGTTTTCTGTGAGTTTTTGTTTTTCTTTCTGCAAGATCAAAATTGACGAATGAAATTGGTGAGGAAATGAAACTGAAACGTATGGAATTGGGTAAAGAACTCGCCCATCCTTTATTCTTATTTTGAATGGGTGTACACAATTTGACTGGGGTTCGCCTGACGCCCTTATGTTTGTCATGTCTTGAGTAAAGGCTCCAATCTTGAGATGGAGTACTCAGTTACAAGCCAGACTGTTGTCATGTGATATAGTTCAGCCTTGATCACGATAAGATAAGGAGTGCCATGAAAGTGAAAATCAGCGTCGAAACTGCCTATACCTGTTGTTGTCACCTTCAGCGGACTGGTCTCTTCAGTGGACGTCTTGTTCACCATGTCGGATATATTCCACGACTCTCTACTGCTGTCATTTGTCATGTTGCTACGTCCGTCCACACCTTCATGTGACCATTAACTGAAACAAGGAACAAGGTTAATATACAGGTATCACAGTTCACTCAAAGTAGACCGGCAAAACGTAAATGAGTGAATTAAAACAGTTCTCACGCAGCTGAATGAGGTGGCCTGAATGGCCCGCTTGATAAAGACATATCTTGTCATTCTGTTGGTCGGTCAAGATAAGCAAGGAAACATATCTATATCAGTCTATGTCGCCTCTTACGATAAGCATGGGTTACTAAAGATCAATATTCTAACCCTGACCTTCACGGGTATAACCATCGTAAAACTTCAAACAGAAAATCAAAACAAAATGATGATAGTTTGTTAAGTAACTTTTTATTTTTGAGACAAACGTTATGAAATTTTTTTCCAGAGTTGGTCTGATGTTTTCATTACATTGGACTGCGTTGAAGTGAATGTTTGATCATGAACCGATTTGGAGTTAGATTGTGATTCATCGGTATCATTTTTCACCCAAACAGACTGTAGATATATGTTGATGTGCATATATATGTTGATGCAAAAAGTCTTAATTTAAAAATCACAATTCATTAAATGAATTAATAAAACTATAGTTAATACCTAATGTTGTCTTTTTTATCTGGGCACATACCATTATCGTCAAGGGTACAGCTTAATTAAGCCTTATGCAACCAACCATAAAATGTGTTGTTGTAAGTCTTATGGAGGTCTGTCTTATGGGAAGATACCGTCTATGAATATCACGTCTACGTAATACTCACCATGGCATTGCCGCAGACATTTATGTCTCCGTTGTCACTTCAGAAGATGAGATAGGGCGGTGGGATACCCTAGTAGTTGAAGCGTTCGCTCGTCACGCCGAAGACCTGGGTTCGATTCCCCACAAGGGTAAAATGTGTGAAGCCCATTTCTGGTGTCCCCCGCCGTGATATTGCTGGAATATTGTTAAATCGGCGTAAAACCAAACTCACTCACTCAGAAAATGAGTTTGTTCAGTTTGTTCTAAATGCCTCTTAAAGAGGTTGTTCAGTCAGTTTGTTTTACCTTGGTACATGATGTTACAATCGACACAGCAAAAATTTGCTTATTTTGTTATGAAGATACTGTGCATTTTATCCCAGGCTAAGCTGCAGGATCCGGATCTACAAAGCCTTTATAATGTTATGTTCTGTTTGTTGTGTAACGCCGCACTCAGCAGTATTCCAGCTGTATGGTGGCGGTCTGTAAATAATCGAGTCTAGACCAGGCAATAGAGTGATCATGACCATCAATCTACGAAATTGGGATATGACATGTGTCACCCAATCCCGTTAGTCGCCTTTAACGACAAGCATGGGTTGCTGCCCCGGATAGTCAAAGGGCTCATAGCGTTACTACCCGTACTAGTTCAATACTAGAGTGGTGCTACGAACACTTTGTGGATAAGCTCCCAGGTTGATTAAATAGCAGAACATACTCTCTGTTCTGTTGGCCCATACAGTCACTCGTTCCAGATAACATTGCTGACCTCTTCCTGAGATACACAAAATGCCAGGCAACAGACGGAACTCAATGATAATGCAAATGTTCTGACGTTCCCATGGAAACTATACTTTTACCGTCGCGATTCATTATGTTTTCATTAACAATTGCCCCAGTGTGAAAATGCGGATTAGAATGGGTCTTCAGCAACCCAACCTAGCGTTAAACAAGAAACCAAATTGTTAATTCTCATGGTGTTTATGTTTGCCCAGCCCAAATGTTCAGTTAACGATTTGAAAACAATGTTAATTCCCGATAATTTGGTGGCAAATGTAATTGTAATCACTTTGGTCTTGTTTGACAAAATGATGTTAGTATTAAAAGCACTGTTATTACTTACAACAGTTTTGCGCAATAATACCTTTGTTAATAAAGCGGACTGGATTAATCTTTGGAAACACTGAGACATGCCAAAAAAGTGAAAACAAGGGCACAAGGTATGATTTGCACTCTTATTGCCCACTTTAAGTGTCACACCATAAATGTTGAAATATTATGAAACTTTCAATACACTTTATTTTCAAACGTAAGGCAGTTTTCGTTCATCCTTTTGACAACATAAAACACTGTTTAATACTATTCTGTTCATTCTCCTTTGTTCACAAGCATGTTTGCTGTTGATCAATTCGTACCAGGAATAGGATGTTTTTGAAAATAACATGACCTTCGCTTTCATCAATCTACATGAACGTTTTCGCTTAAAGCACCCAGAGCTAGTAGTCAAAACGAATCGTTAGCGTACCAAATTCGTTGTTTTGTCACTTGGACTGTTTTAGTCATTTGAGTACCCATTGTAAATGCAGCCATATATTAGTGCCAGTTATTTTAACAGCTGATTAAAGCGTTCGCTCGTCACGCCGAAGACCCGGGTTCGATTCTCCACATGGGTACAGTATGTGAAGCTCATTTCTGGTGTCCCCCGCTGTGATGTTGCTGGAATATTGCTAAAAGCCGCCTAAAACCAAACTCAATCAGTCAGTGTTAGCAGCTATACGATAGTACACATGTAGAAATTTGGAAGATGTTTCCACATTACCCTTCAGTGGAAAACATTATGTCTGATGCAATCCTCTTGTTACGTTTTATATACGATTTGTTCCCGTGTTCTTTTTCAGGTGAAGAACTGCATGTGTCTGACACCAGTGGGTGGAATACGTTCAGCTATTTCGCGCACACATCATCGCTATATGATTCTTAATCACGAGGGGCGGTGGGGTAGCCTAATGGTTAAAGCGTTGGCTCGTCACGCCGAAGACCCGGGTTTGAATCCCCACATGGGCACAATGTGTGAAGCCCATTTCTGGTGTGCCCCGCCGTGATGTTGCTGGAATATTGCTAATAGCGGCGTAAAACCAAACTCAGTCAGTCAGTCAGTCAGTTAATAATGAACGCAGGCATATTACTTACTGGACTCTTGCATTGTAGTTTAGTTGTAGACTGATTTTGTCTCTATCTACATCTAACTGTTGTCTTACGAAACCAAAACACCTCAAGGTGCGTCAGTAGCCACCAGGATGGTTCTCAAACGCACTACAGGACGTTTACTTACTTTCTGCTAGAACAGGTGATCTCAACCAGTGGCACTCCAGGCCCTCTCCAATCAAAACATAACATCCCTTACATTGTAACAAACGTCATGTAAATTCACTACAGAACATTGATGTCAAATTGACTGACAACCAATTACTTTCTAACTCTGCAATGTACTGTAATTTGATTGAAAGACAAACAGGTATAACTGCATGCATATGTTTTTGGTTGGTTGGTTTCTTGTTTAGCGCCGCACTCATCTGTATCCCTGCGTTCTGTAAATAATCGAGTATGGACCAGACAATCATGAGCATTGATCTACGCAATTGGGATACGATAACATGTGCCAACCAAGTCAGCGAGTCTGATCACCCGATCCCGTTGGTCGCCTTTTACAACAAGCATGGGTTACTGAAGATCAATTCTAACCCGGATCTTCATGCATGTCTATGTACCCAAACGAATGAAAAGAATGGATCGACAGGATATCGCAAGAACTTTCAAGACAAAGGAGTGACCCTGTTCGTGTGGTACAAATATACTCCTGTCTATGACGGCACGACATATATACTGTACATATTACACCGCTATATAAATTGTAGGTTAAACTAATCCCGTACAGACCTTGTTTCCGGCTTCACGTAGGACAGGGAAGCTTCAGAACATCACCGCCAAGTCTCCAAGCAACATGCAGTCTCTGTGCCACAGTAGGCTTGTGAGAGACAGACTGTGTATTCCACATTTAACTGCCGCATCCAGGCAGACAATCAGATGGGTTCGCTCAATGTGAAACATAATTGTCCATTTATCCCGCTATTGATGCTAACCCTCCAGGTCTGTATAAAATGACAAACACGAGAACTATGGTCCGTTGTCTAATTATTTAATGTTGATGCAGATGTCATTTATAACAGTCATACAGGATGCGATACAGGTCCTAGCAATTTATGCTGGTTGTAAGAGGTTATTAAGTGTATCGGGTGGTAAGGTTACTTGACTGAGTGCATGTCATCCTACCCCGAACACAAGGGTAGCTTATTGGTTAAAACGCTCGCTCGTCACACCTAAGACCCGGGCTCGATTCCCCACGTGGGTACAATGTGTGAAGCCCATTTCTGGTGTCCCGAGCCGTGATATTGCTGGAGTATTGTTAAAATGGCCTAAAACCAAACTCACTTACTCAGAAGATGAGTTTGATAAGTCAGTTTGTTTTATCTTTGTACATGATGTTACAATCGACACAGCAAAATCTGCTTATTTTTATATGACGATACTGTCCATACTCACTCACTCACTCACTCAATGTACAATCAAACCTCACACCCATTCATGTTATTTGTTTTTCGCTGCCTTTGCTACTATACTGTCATAACTGGGGCCATACTCTTCCTACTGATCTTAGAAAATACCACTCAGTACAATATCAAACACACTGTCAGCATGTGAACTGTCAACAGTATATATGTCGTAATGTTATGCCTATAGTTATCATAACAGGAGACATACAGGTGGAGGGGCTGTGGCGTAGCCTAGTGGTTAAGGCGTTGGCTCGTCACGTCGAAGACCCGGGTTCGATTCCCCACATGGATACAATGTGTGAAGCCCATTTCTGGTGTCCCCCGCTATGATATTGCTGGAATATTGCTAAAAGCGGCGTAAAACCAAACTCACTCACTCACTCACTCACTCACTATACAGATGGACAAGCATAGGAAATAAAGGTGCACGTTGTGTGATTAATTAACGGACTATACAACCCAGTGATGGACATCATGAGCACTAATCTACGTCATAGGGATCTGATGACGTGCATAAACCACCTCAGCGAGCCCGAACACCCAATCCCATTCTTCGACAAGCATGGGTTCTTGAAGTCCAATTTCGACTCGAATCTGTCTAGTAAAATATGTCCTGAGTATTTATTCTGATTAGTGAGACCACGAGTGCTCGAAACGTTAGAAGATGTGCCTGTGCCACACTGCCACATGTGTTAACAAGTCTCATCCTTCTGTTGTACAGACATAAACTCATCTGGCTTTGACATCCTTCTGTAAATGATGACTCCAGCCCTATACACCGCTGTCACTAGAACTGACTCGGTAATTATAAAGACACCAAATAACAGAGGATACAAGGACAGTTCGCCCATTTCTGATTTGCTGAAGGTCAAGGTCAGTAAGGTCATACAGAAAGGGAAATTCTGTATCCCTGTCTCCAAAGCAACAGTTCTGCACTTGTAATGTGGCATCCTGAAGATAAAGGCAGAGGTGTATCCAAGCCCAAAGCTGATCAATGGAAGGATGGCAACTGCAAAGTAGATCCTCCAGGATGAGTTGTACATGTACGGGTAGAGCAGGCTTGTCAATGCAATGATCACCACCACGGACAATGCTCCTGCAATGCTGCCAATCTGAAAATACAAAAATATAGATTCCACGTGAAGAAGGTATTTGAATATGCGTATTTTATGAGACGATTCTGGACACGTAGAAGGTTCTGAAGGTTAGGTGAAATTGGATGTAACAGTCCTTGTTTAATTCTTCAATGTCCAACGTCATTCATGATACCTTTTCTTTTGTGCAATGCGTCCGGTTCCCAGGTACACGCTCTATCCACGAGGCCACGAAGAGACTTTGAAATTCCTGCACAACGTTTTACTTAAGTGATCTGTGAACTTTTGGCACTCAGCTTTGTTACAATACCAGCAGTCTAATCCCCCAAAGGATGTTATTAAAACGGAAGTGCTCTGTCTTTGTTGTGAAGGTAGGTGTTGGCGCAGAACTGTTTCTACCAGAAATACAAGTGGAAGTTGAAGTGATCATGACCTTATTGAAGTTGCTAGAGTTTTGATGCAACCAGAAAAGTCTCGGGGCGGGTATTGGACTGCTTCTGTGTGTTCGTGTCATTAGCATAGTACCACCACAGGGTTAGGACTGCCACGGATTATCAGGGAATGGACCAGTTTCTGTGCCGTCATATTTTGCAAGTCAAAACTTGATTACACAACAGTCTCGTTTCCCGTTGACTGGGTTCCGTCCTATTGCGTAACTTAAAACAATAACCAGTCAAGAATTTTGACACCAATTCATTTAACTGGATACATAAATATTAATCAGTATTATTTGATACATTTAAGCACTTGTATATTGCAACACTACGCTCCTATATGATCAGTGCAAGCATGTCGTGCAGCGTGCTCTGTCGTACAGCGAGCACTGACAAACAGAAACCTGGAAATCGTGGAAATCTCAAAACGAGGCTCTGCCGCTAGAAAAGTTTGGTACGGACATGATATTATATCAATCACATTGTGCGTTACAGAACTACACTAAATAAGCGCAAAAAAACCCACATAACTGGTGTAACCAGTGAGCCAGATGCATTGTAAATCATTTTACGACCTCATCAAACTGGGGCAGTCTGTGAGGTCATGCTGCCTACACCTCATTCTCTTCCCACAGAGGTTACTCCTGTCATATCTTCCTACGTAGCCTCTGTTCTAATACGGCCCTTTCATAAAATTCATACTCGTGAATCTACGATGTTATTAAAGTTTACAATTAAAATTCATTTGTAAATACCATTTTCTTATGAAACAAGTTATGGCGGAATTGGAATTCCAGTGTAACTATAGTTGTTTGTGATGTGTATTTTTGTGTTGTGTAATCAAGTTGAATCACTTTCACACGAGAAAAATTTGGATCGGCTGAAAAGTAGAACCGGGAAATATCATTGTCTGAATAGGTTAATGAGCCCCATGTTTCGGTTTTAAAGAGGCGCAGCTCACACTGTCGAATGCTAGTTTTCCTGGTCCAAGCATTTGGTGAATATAAGAAAAGCCTAGCGGTGTCACTGCTGCCATTCACACTAACCCATGATTTATGTTTTCCAGTTTTAAAACTAATAGACGGCCGTGATATCAAGTTGCATTAGTGATTAACTTCAGTAGTGCTGACTTGGACATCATTCACTGGAGACCCGGGAAGATCCGGGTTAGAACTTGTCTTCACTAACCCATTCCTGTCGTAAGAGGGTGGGATCGGGAGGTCAGGCTCGTTGACGTGGTTGACACATGTCTTGGTATCCCAATTGCGTAGATCGATGTTCATGCTGTTGATCACTGGGTTGTCTGGTTCAGACTGGATTATGTACACACCGTCGCCATATAGCTGGAATATTGCTGAGTGCGGCGTAAAACTAAACTCACTCACTCACTCACTACAGACCGCCGCCATATAGCTGGAATATTGCTGAGTGCGACGTAAAACCAAACTCTCTCACTCATTGGACAACACAATACTCACTTTTATCAAGTACATGGCAACCTTTGGCTTCCAGTGACGCACTGCTATTCCTACGGCTGCCGGAATCAGCATCAGAGCTATTCCCTGTGCTAGATTGGCATAAGGTATAACGGCTTTCTTGTCTGTCCAAGAACGGCAATAGATGAGTAGATTGAGGGGCAGAAATCCGGTCGACAGTACTGTGTTCACAGTGGTCATAGAAAGGCTTTGAATAGATCAAATATTGCAATGTATAATTCATTTAGTTATGGTTCATGTTTAAGACAATACAACAACTCTTTACCTGAACCAGTTTATTCAGACGACCCTATTCACATTCTTTCTGAAAAGGGGCAATGTGTTTGGATTGAACGGGAAAGGGGAATTACATTTGAAGAGTTGTAACATTCTAAGGTGAGTTGGCTATTGTTTTCGGTTTGGGTTTCAGCGTCAATGTCTCAGAAATGTCTTTTGATTTTCCGGAAGTAATTGTCGTTGTATTTGAGAGTGACCTATAAACACATGAATATGAGATGCATGATGGACATTTAGAAGCTGGAAGGGAACATAACAACGTATGGTATGGATTTACAACTTTAATATTTACAACAAGACATTTCTGGGCTACTTCTTGCCCCTTTATTATTTACAACAAGACATTTCTGGGCTGCTTCTTGCCCATTCATCACCTGAAACGTCGTGTTGTAAATAATAAAGGGGCAAGAAGTAGCTCAGAAATGTCTAGTTGTAAATAATAAAGGGGCAAGAAGTAGCCCAGAAATGTCTAGTTGTAAATAATAAAGGGGCAAGAAGTAGCCCAGAAATGTCTTGTTGTAAATAATAAAGGGACAAGAAGTAGCCCAGAAATGTCTAGTTGTAAATATTAAAGGGGCAAGAAGTAGCTCAGAAATGTCTAGTTGTGAATATTAAAGGGGCAAGAAGTAGCCCAGAAACGTCTAGTTGTAAATAATAATGGGACAAGAAGTAGCCCAGAAATGTCTTTTTGTCAATAATAAAGGGGCAAGAAGTAGCCCAGAAACGTCCTGTTGTAAATAATAAAGGGACACGAAGATGCTCAGAAACGCCGTGTTGTGAATAATAAAGGAGCAAGAAGTAGCTCAGAAACGTCGTGTTGTAAATGATAAAGGGACAAGAAGATACGTAGCTCAGAAACGTATTGTTGTAAATGATAAAGGGACACGAAGATGCTCAGAAACGTCGTGTTGTAAATAATACAGGGACAAGATGATGCTCAGAAACGTATTGTTGTAAATAATAATGGGGCAAGAAGTAGCCCAGAAACGTCGTGTTGTAAATAATAAAGGTGCAAGAGGTAGCCCAGAAACGTCGTGTTGTAAATAATAAAGGGGTAAGAAGTAGCCAGAAACGTATTGTTGTAAATAATAAAGGGACACGAAGATGCTCAAAAACGCCGTGTTGTAAATAATAGAGGGACACGAAGATGCTCAGAAACGTCGTGTTGTAAACAATACAGGGACAAGATGATGCTCAGAAACGTATTATTGTAAATAATAAAGGGGCAAAAGGTAGCCCAGAAACGTCGTGTTGTAAATAATAAAGGGACAAGAAGTAGCCCAGGAACGTATTTTTGTAAATAATAAAGGGGCAAGAAGTAGCTCAGAAACGTCGTGTTGTAAATAATAAAAGGGCAAGAGGTAGCCCAGAAACGCCGTGTTATAAATAATAAAGGGGCAAGAAGTTACCCAGGAACGTATTTATGTAAATAATAAAGGGGCAAGAAGTAGCCCAGAAACGTCTTGTTGTAAATAGTAAAGGGGCAAGCAGTAACCCAGAAACGTTTTGTTGTAAATAATAAGGGGGCAAGAAGTAGCCCAGCAATTCCTTGTCGTAAATATTAAAGGGGCAAGAAGTAGCCCAGGAACGTATTTATGTAAATAATAAAGGGGCAAGAAGTAGCCCAGAAACGTCTTGTTGTAAATAGTAAAGGGGCAAGCAGTAACCCAGAAACGTTTTGTTGTAAATAATAAGGGGGCAAGAAGTAGCCCAGCAATGTCTTGTTGTAAATAGTAAAGGGGCAAGAAGTAGCCCATGAACGTATTTATGTAAATAATAAAGGGGCAAGAAGTAGCCCAGAAACGTCTTGTTGTAAATAGTAAAGGGCAAGCAGTAACCCAGAAACGTTTTGTTGTAAATAATAATGGGGCAAGAAGTAGCCCAGAAATGTCTTGTTGTAAAATAAAAGGGGCAAAGGGGCAAGATGTAGCCCAGAAACGTCTTGTTGTAAATAAGAAAGAAGTTGTAAATCCATACCATTTGTTGTTACACGAAGATGACTTGGTTGAAATCGTACAACAGACACTCCTGTTATTGGGGATTCCTTTTGATTATCATCTGTTCATTTTAAAAGGTTTCAGTGTGTCGATATGTGATCCTCATGAAACTCTTACAGTCTCCAAAGATGCATACCCGATACCAGTTCATTGAAGGATATTTAACACATCACAGTATGAAATATGAACAAGGCCACGTGACTGCAGATGCATTAAATTTCAAGTACGGCTACCACTGACCTGAGCGGCACGTCTCCATCCACCCACAACGTGAACATGTTAGAGGTGGATCCACCCGGGCAACAACTCATGATCAGCATCCCTATCGCCTGCTTTGGGGGCAGCTGCAGGGCATGACCAAGACCGAACGCCGTCAGAGGCAGCACGATGAATTGTGACGCCGCCCCGATGAGGATGCCGTATGGACGTCTCAGATGAGCCCACAGTTCCTTCAGCTGGATGCAAGCTCCGACACCCAACATTATGGCGATAAGGCACGTTGTCATTGCCACTGGGTAGATATAAATATAAAACAGCTCCTTTTAGTAGATATTAGTGGTTATGCCAACGGTTTGGTTGCTGTGTTTCTAAGTTGTATATGTTACACATGATATACCCACCATCAATACATTAGGGCAGTAGTATTTATTGGACTTCTTTTTCTATAAAATGAAGAATGTGGGAAATATATATTGCTTAACCAAGTATTTCTAGATGAGGCGACAATCAGTTTTCGATGGAGACAGCATTTATGGTTGTACAACCTTTGCCAAATTCATTTGACTTTTAATTGCCAAAAAGTATGCCTAAAATATTTCCTTCCAACCGGTGTATCTCAAGTTCCACCCAACAGTCGATTACCATAGCCACATGTTGTCCAAGATAGAAACACAGGCAAGATTATACAGACACAAGAGGTGGTCACGAATCATCACTGTGAAAACGCTGATACAGATGATGGATGGTAACAATGTGTTTCAGTGTAAGCACAGGGGAAGCGTGCTACTGAGCATTTTCGTAAATTGTTTTTCCTGATATATATTAATAAGGTCTAGATGAGCATTTTACAACATCTTCAGAATCAAAATACCTATAACCTTCCAAAATAATACTAAGACGTTTCTAGCAAAGTTAGAAACACGCGTTATTTGAAGCTATTTGGTGGTGGATTTAACGTCAAACTCATTAATTTCGTTATCTGAAGATAAATTAATGCTTCGTAGAACCCAAAGGTCCCCCATCCAAACAGCCTATCACTGTACATTTTTAAGTATGACGTATGAATTTGATTGTCTTGAAAATTATTTTTATTATCATTTAAAGTTCATGTAATTGATTAAGTATTGCATATGTCACATGAATAATCATTTCGTTAAAGCGTTCGCTCGTTACGCCGAAGGCCCGGGTTCGATTCCCCACATGGGTACAATGTGTAAAGCCCATTTCTGGTGTGCCCCGCCGTGATATTGCTGGAATATTGCTACAAGCGGCGTAAAACTAACCTCACTCACTCACTCACGCACTCACTTTCCAACGGTATAAGGATCTGTACAAAAACAACGCAAAATGATGTTTAGACATTATTGCAAGACATCGATCAAATTCATAGGCAATAGGATATTTAGAGCGTCATTTGATGTGGTCTCCAGTAACTACCGATAGAGCATTTGGAAATTGAAGTTTTCCTTAACCAATGCACCGTCATTCCCTTATTCCTCTTGTAATGGTTCCGTTTGTGGCCACATGAAGGTTCTTTGGTAATTGTGTGCTTTTACGTTGTCGACAGTTCCTTGTTTTGGTAAACGTGTGTTAGACATTATCATAATGTGTTTTTGGCTGTTTTATTTTAAACGTAAGCAGTAAATTCATCAAATATATCGATAAATATAAATAAAATGTCAGAATATTGAAAGGTTCCTTAATAATCTACCACGGGGTTCCAACAATGTAAATAAACTTATAAGGCAAACGCAATGGGGAAACATATAAAAGTGGAACTAGTGCACAGATATTGCATTCGAACGAGTGTTTTGTATTTTTTGTCTGTGTTGTTATATATTAATAATATTTATTCGTCATATTTGAAACAACTCTGTTCCTTCTGCGTGGACATGTTCATGGAAAATTGCATCGAAAATTCTCATTTTCTGCATCTGTCTATGACATGTTTGGATATATATTTATGTTGTTAGTTGTCATGTTTAAGTTTAACAAAACCTCTAAATTCATGAAAGGTGTTTCGTCGAATTTGTCGCCTTGATTAGAAGGAGAAACTAATACAGACTGTCCATGAAGAATGCGGCCTGGCTTGTACCTCTCCTGCTCCAACTGACCTCAGCCAGCTAAACGGGTTTTTTTCATCTGAATTTATCTTACCTTCATGTGAAATACTTTTCAACTTCATTCGTCAATGACGCTTTAACAAGTTTCGTATCACCCCTCACAGGAGGGTGACAACTGGAAAAAATATTATCCGCTGCCATGCTAACCGCCAAACTCCCCGCCGAGAAGCTGTATCGCTAATAATCGTATGACGTCATAATATGACGCATGCAGTGCCCGGAGTTCGAAAACCATTCGATTAGCTGTTTTTGAGTTCACTTTGTACAGGTTTATTTTACCGACTTTCACTTAAACTTTTTATACACTGAGTCGTTTGAACACTCAACACATATTCAACCATTTTTATAGCAGTTTTAAGCTTGTCAGAATATGTTTTACTGATTTAAAAATTCCAGTCGAGGGGCAGACGCCATTTTGTTTATTTTTGCTCGGGTGACACTGCTACAATGAGGCGTACATCAAACCGTATTACCCTCGAGAGAAGCATACAACTTTATTGTCCATGTTTGATATAAAAACCTGAATTGGTCCCTGTAATTTAAAATACTTTAGATTTGAACTGACGATGTAATTTTCTGGTCTATTTGCAATAATGTCTGATAAATCTAAACAAGATGTTAGTTTTTCAGTTGCAGTATTTGTAAACACTTTTTTAGAATATTTAACGCCTGCAGGCATCGTTTTTATCGAACTCAGTAACGTCGTCATATGAGCGAAATATTCTCAAGCACGACGTTAAACCCAATTTCACCTCACCTCGAACTCAGTATGTACAGAATGTAACTGCATTGTGGTCCAAAACAGGTGTAGTGTTAGGAATTTTAGCTGAAACCAGTATTGTTCACATTATTTTTAAAAAGCATGTGTTGGTCAAACATTTGGGGAAACTTGTGATATCTATTTACGTTTAATTGTCATTTCACTGAAGGCGTGATGCTGTGTTGACACCATGTTGATGCCTCGCTTAAAAGGTTTTGTGTAAAGACTTTTCCCTTGCTACGTTAGTGAGCATATTATGTATACGTGAAAGTCATATTGCTCTTGTACCTGTTGTAGCCACTTTCAGCGGACCGGTTTCCTCTGTGGAGGTCACGTTGAACGTGTCGGTTGTATTGCATGACGTTAGATTGGCCATCTTGTTCACACGTATGACCCCAAACGGTTGACTTAAGACGGCCACTGAAGCACAACTCTTAAACAGTCATTCGTTCAGTTATCTGAAAACTGGAAAAAGATGACTGTTACTAATTATAAGTAAGCCTCGCAGGGTTTAGGTTTGCAATGGCAAATGATCGTTGCCACCCATACAAAGTGTCCAGATGAAATGAAACGAAATTACATGTTAAAACAAACGCTGTACTATACGAGGACTGTACGTGTTTAATAATTTTTAAAATTCAAATTTTACACTGTGTAGCATTTTCTTCTATGTCTCTCCATTTGACTATTCGTTGCATACATTACCCAGCAATCGTAGCAAAAGTTGTGGAACTAAAATAGATGCATTAAATGATTTGGTGAATTCAAACGTCTCAACCGCGTGTGATTCCATAACAATGGCACGTATCAGCATTTCTAATAATTATTCTTTGTTAGAATGAAAGCAAAAAAAACAATTAATAAAACGGAAAGTGTCAGAATTTTTTCTGATTACGTACATCACACGTTTATGTACACACGACCCCTGGGTCAAACTAAGAAGAGTATAATTCACAGCAAAGTCCTTTTTAGCGCTCACCATTTTTACTTCATAAACCCTTAACAGGAATCTTTGTTCAACTTGGCCGTAAACGTCATAGATGAGTTACAAATTGTTTTCAGGTCACTAATATATCTACTTAGATATTACGTAATGGTGTTACCATCTTCTTTTCTGGAACATAGAAACAGTAGCTCAGGTTAATTCGGTTTATATTAGACATGTTATTATGGAAATATCTGAGGCATACCGGTACGTTAAAGACAACCCCTTACCTCATCTACATCCAGGGTAGTCTCTACACTAGAAGAGGTTTAACTTGGTTTTTCAACCAAAACACAATAAAACAATAAAGTGACTTCTAATCTGTAATATTGATACCATCGCTAATTACTGACTTCAAATTTGTATTATTGATACAAATACTAATTACTGAATTGTAATCTGTGATACTAATACCATCACTGACTTCCAGTCTGTAATCCGCCATATAGCTGGAATGTTGCTGAGTGCGGCGTAAACTAAACTTCATATCTGTAATATTGATACCATCACTGATTACTTGCTTCAAAAATATAATATAGATACGAATACTAATTACTGACTTCATATATGTAATATAGATACGAATACCAATTACTGACTTTAAATCTGTAATATTGATACCATCACTGATTACTTGCTTAAAAAATGTAATATTGACAAAAGTGGTGATTACTTACTTCAAATCTGTAATATTGATAATTACTGAGCTTTAACTTGACATCTGAAATGCTGAAACCATCACGGATTTGATGAAACGTCCATGAAACTGTAACCCTGAGAGGCAGTTATGCAACACTCACATAGCAAGTACACATCCATGTAGAACACGACTGGTAATGCTATTAATATAGCATAGTATTATTTTCATAATTAAGATATTCCACATTATGAAGCAGCTGCTTATAAACGCTAGACCAGTCACATATGCTGCAATTCATAGATAATGGTATTCATTCCGCATGAAATCTATCAGATACCCATCAGCAGGACAATCATCGGAATATTATGGGGCGGCTGCTACAAACAAGAGCTTAAAGGACAACCACGTAGCAGATGATAGATGACAATAGGTGTTTTACTGCAGTTACTCAAGTGAAGCAATGAGGAATTGTTATTATAACGCCACTTATGGAGATTTTAATTGAAATTAAGATTGCCATTAAACAGTATAATGAATCGTTACATTATATTATTCACAACTAAGGTATTTGTATGACATGGACTCAATAACCAGTCAAAGGCAACAAAAACATATCTACATTAATATACAGTTTCTGCACAAGTTTGTACGATTCTGACTAGATTACTGTCAAAACCAGCCATACTACTTTCATCACTGGGGCGGTGGGATAGCCTAGTGATTACAGTGGCCGCTCGTCAGGCCAAAGACCTGGGTTCGATACCCCTCATGGGTACAAA